TAGCGATTAGCGATTTCTATGTTGATTGTCGCATGCCTCTTACTTGTTACACTGTAATTATTTATATAAAAAAAACATCTATTAAAAAGAGCAACACACAAGTTTCTTGCTCATTCTTCTTGTGATGAATCTGCATTCCGAATGAGTGGTAGAATCAAAATATGACTATTCAAAAGTGCTTGTAATGAGTTTATTTGAATAAAGATTATTTCTATTCTATTCTATTCTACTTAAATGTTTGAAATAATTCGAACATATCTCTTATTAGGAGCATATGTATAGATTTCATTTTTAACTCTTCTCTAACTAATTTGTGTCAATTCATTATCATACAACAATCTATAAGTATTTATGGCAACATTATTTTTATGACTTCATCTTCTATACAAAAACATTATGACCATTATAAAATACCTTATTTAATCTGTGGTATAGATTCAAGTGTTGCCATCCCTACGCTTGTGAAAAACACAGCTTGTGAAAGACATAGCAAAACCTACCGAGATGATATTCCAGTCTCTTTACCTCTCTTTCTATCACCATATAATAGTATATTTTTATTTCAAACTTTCACTTGTTAATTTTCAGCTTTTTTTACTCAAACACGTGCATCGTTGACTAGAACGAAAGAAAATATTTCGACAGTCCACTGCAGCAATATTTATACTATTACATACATTATCAAAGCAGGGATCATTCTTCAAAAATTGTTTATTAATCTACAGGTTTAGTTGTAAAGGGTCAGTTATAAACAGAGCTATTATCATAATCATAATTACATCAAAAAACAATATCGAAATCTGAAAAACAACTATATTCGCTTTGAGATATTTAAAAGATTTGTTTATATACGAAGGCCACAGCCAGAGGTGGCAACAAATACAATTAATGTTTTATTTATATTATTATATTGGAAACTAGCTACTCGCCCCGGCTTCACATTGGTGTACATGTATTATATATATAAACCTTCGTCTTGAATCACTCTATCTATTAAAACAAAACAGCTTCAAAATCCATTGCGTAGTTTTAAAAATTTAAGCATACATAGAGACGGACAGACAGTGACTTCGTTTTATAATATGTAATGATATACGAGACTAGTGTGTTCACGTTACGGCTGCTGATTAAATTATTTGACTGTTTACTTTAATTACTTCATTTGCCACTCATTCTCCCAAATTTGAATTTAAAAATGAATCTGTATTATTGTAAACATGTACAACATTTATTTGAAAAGAATACGAGCTGAGTTTCTTGTCAGTTCTTCTCGTCTCGAAATCATTCCGAACTGTCGTTAGATTTTATCCTGAATATAGTTATTTTTATTAAAATTATACAATTAAAATAAACTGCGAAACACATTGCATACTAAAATATATAGATATATATATAAAACCATTCACAACTAACCCTGCAGTTAACTAACACTAACTTACTAATTACAATACTAACTAACTACTGATAAGGTAATATAAAACATTTCCTAACAGTAAACTCAACCTAATTAGAGGCTTAGTACACGAACGACGCCGTGGGGGATATGTGCGGTCCTTAACACTTAACACTAATTCGCTACACTAAAACAATTAACACACTATCACTAAATATTTAGGGGCCGCCCATTAATCACGTGACTTGAAACTGAGACTGAGACTTCGAAAATGAGAGGGGGAGAGCGAGGAGGGGGGGGGGGGGGAGGGGACTCAATATTAAAATAGCTAAACGGATTTCAACACGAATAATTTTTTGAAAGTATGTATGTTTGTTACGCTTTCACGCAAAAACTACTGAACCGATCATCATGTAATTTTGCACACACGTTCTTGGAGGTATTACAATGAACATAGGATACTATTTCTTAAAAACGAAAAAAGTAAAATATCAGCATTTTGCTACTTCAGCGCCATCTAGCAGTCAGTAATGAAGTTATTTAATGGATTCAATGCGAGCGAAGCCACGGGTAAAAACTAGTGGTAAATATAGGTATTTACCTCTCACGATTATCGATTACTGGAGCCACTCTAGTAAAGCTCATGACCACGGCTAGTGCAACCTAGTCGAAACCTTTATTTACCATAACATTATTTAAAGCCCATTTAACTATATGAAAGTGAGGGAGGGCGTCCGGCAAATAATACGAAACATTTCAAGGGGGGGAGGGATGTAGTAAGATATCACATGTATTTATTTCTCCGTCAAACGCGCGATTTATAAACCGAAAATAACGTAGCGTGGTCTTGACTATTCTAGAAAAATTACTTTTTTTATCACTGCAAATTTAAAATTATGACAAATTATGACAAACAAGCATACGTCCCATCTGTAGGTAAATGATTACCGTAGTCTATGGACGCCTAAATCACCAGGGATGTCACGTGCGCGTTGCAGACCCTAAAAATATACTTTATACTTGATATATATTTCAATATAATATACTATGTAGGTACTAAAAAATACATGTGATTTTGAGCAGGTTGTGTTAAACGTTGCCACGTATAACCAAGGAGGGGGGAGAGGGGGGGGGAGGGGTGATTTTGAGCAGGTTGTGTTAAACGTTGCCACGTATAACCAAGGAGGGGGTGAGGGGGGAGGGGGTATTAAAAAATGCTAAAAACATCACGTGATTAAAGGTAGATCCCTCATGTAGCCACACTTGACTAAACTTGTGACACTTGTATGAGTGATTGCCCATATTAGTCTGCGATGGCACGTCGTTTTGGCCAAATCCTTACTTAGTGTTATAAACTGACTCACTCTTCTGCATGACTATGATTGACTGAGATGAAAATTTCGTACATCCTTCTCTATCCCAAATACTATTTTATATAAATATAAAATTTTATATTAATATCAGCTGACACGGCAAGCGTTACTTTGCCATATAAGTTAATATCGCTGTTTAAAAATAGTGGTTCAAGGCAGGGCTGGATCTACCTAAGGGCTTTTCGAGCTCCAGCTCAGGGCCCCGAAGATACAAAGGCCCCCAGTCCCTACTGAAAGTATATCTAGAATGTTAAAAAACCTGTCATAAGGTTGGTACTCTGATCTCAATCAAAACATGCAAGCGCGTCTGTCGAATGGGGAATTTCTGGTCGCTTGTTTTTGGTCGGTGTATTTTTTTAGTTGAGTAATATAATTAGGCACGGTAGGTAGGCCCCTAAGTAGATCTAGCCCAGGGCTCCATAAATCCGCCCCTGGTTGAAGGGATGAAAATTTAAGGGTTTTTTGTATATTTAAAGTTGAATCATTACACAAATAAAAATAAATAAATATGGCCAAAAAATAAAAAATAAATTGTTGATCATTCTGTTTGTTCCTCATAGCTTAGTATCTTAACAGCTCGACCAATTGCTATAAAATTTAACAGATAAGTATTTGGGATGGACAAGGTAACGGATTCATACGGCAGATACGCGTGTAAACTCGCGAGTAAATATTACTTTTGTATAAATGTAAAATGCCAATTCAAAATAGGCCGAAATCAGAGTATGGCATAAAACCTAAGTTCTATTCGATGCATTGAGAACACTCGACAGTTGGCACCACTTACAATTTACATATACTCTGTTTTATAATCCCGGAGACTAAACTGACAGGTGTAAATGTCAAATCTTCAAATAATGTTACCACCTACAGCGGGGTAGTGGTGTACCTGCGATACCGATTTGTTTAATCGGAAACTTTTATTTTAACATATTATTTTTATAGTTTTAATTGACGTTTCCACAACAGAATTTTAAAATCTACACACATATACTAGTGTTTCCATTACAGTATTAAGCTACAAACCAACAGTTTTCTTTCAATCTGGCAACATCAGAAATGTCAAATTTGTCTCCGGGACTATAGTATTATTTACTTTTAGTGATAATAGGCTGTCTTTATACGTACACTCTTTCACGCGCGAATATGCTGTCACACAAGAAAAGAATGTTCATGTAGATGGAGACAAGGAGAACGAGAAAGACCGCGCGCAAACTGTGAGAGCATCTCCGCGTACAACAATCGTGCGTGCTTCAGCGCCTTTTAGTAATGAGTAATTATCGTTGCAAAATGGCGGGCGTCTGACTATGGAGCAAAGACAATTATAGAGTTACTGATAATTTATAAATCTTAAACGCGTCTTTGGAAAATAAAATCTTATCTTATTAATATTATAAACACGAAAGTTTGTGAGTATGAATGGATGTTTGTTACTCTTTCACGCAAAAAGTACTGAACGGATTTTTTTGATGAAACTATAGTTTTAGGCTATAATTTTCAAGCGAGTAAAACCGCAGGCACAGCTAGTAAAAAAAACAATTTTAAATGAAAGTGAAATGACATGAAACATACGCACAATAGCGCGAAAGAGTGAACACAAAAATAATAAAATTAAATACTTAACGATTGCCCGCGTTTAATAGCACGTGCTCCTGATTGCGCGTGAAAGAACGAGCCGTATAAGGGCAGCTAACAGATTTGACCACTCTTGTGTCTATACAAAACGAAAAACGCTATCAAATATGGACAATCATATTACACGACATAAACACCCTATGTATTAATAGTTGCAGTCATTCTGCACAACACTACAACATGTGCTTATCGTCATCTGTCCAGCCGTTTGGCTGGCCTGTACAATCGTTATAATTAGTCAAAATATGAAATAAGATGTAACATAATGTAAACCCTATTCACACATACATACAAATTTAAATATAAGTGTCGTAAGAGTTCCGTAGAAAAATATTATAAATGTATATTATATTTAATACATGTTACAAGAATACAAGAAAAATACATGTATTATACAAGTTTAGTTAACCTCGTTTTGAACAACGCAAGAAACATTTATATACATGTTGAATATTGGCTTTTTTTATAACTATTCTAATGCTGTTGATCGCAGCTGGCCTTTACAGCTTCACCGGACGATAGAGGGCGAGTGCAGATGGCACTCCAAACCAAAGGAAGGACTTATGGAGCGGCTGAAGGCCAACTCCAGCCTGACGGATACGACTTTAGTTTGAGGACCGCTAGGGGGTTCGAATCTCGACTAAGGCCGTAATTTCAATCCCCGTTTGAATCGAATGGGGGTTCGATCGAAGGGGTGGACCTGCCGGATGTATAAACGTAGAACCACGGTGGAGCCGTGTAGGTGTGGTGTTGGTCCAGGACAGAGCGTGGACTCAAGAGGAGTCCAGTAAATCAGGCCGATAGCGCTGATTGTCATCGTGATCCCGTAACTACAGTAATAGGCGTTTCGTCAGTATACCTTCGAGTTATCACCCCCTCGCTTCTCCAAGTAAATAATCAGATCAGAGCGTGGCGGCTAGAAGTTCTGCTGCCGCTTCCGCTTGAGATGTATGGCGTCGAGGATGGGCTGCCGCTTGCGGGTGTACCGCGCGTGGAGCTGCTCGATCTCTGCCTCCATCTCCGCGTCCAGCCGCGCCATCCGCGCCTCCAGCTCCGGCACCGGCAGGAACGCCAGCTGCGGGGCACCATACACTCTACATACGGGTACAGAGGTGCGGGGGGATGGGACCGGCGAAGACTACAGTGTGAGGGCTTTTAAGAAGTTTCTTAAAAAAAGCCCTCGTTGCAGTCTCGCGATATTAAACTTTCTTAAGAGAACACTACGCGTACGATGGTGTTTAACACTCGTGATGTTTCAGGCGTCTATAAGCTACAGTAACCGTTTACCACCAAACGGGCCGTATAGAAATAGAAATAGAAATAATCTTTATTCAAATAAACTCGTTACAAGCACTTTTGAATAGTCATATTTTGATTCTACCACTCATTCGGAATGCAGATTCATCACAAGAAGAATGAGCAAGAAAACTTGTGTGTTGCTCTTTTGAATGCTTGATTCCCATCGTAGTATGAAAAATATATATAAAATTATGATAAAATTGGAACACAGATAAAGATATTTTGATTTGAGTTGATTTGATTTCTTGGTGAATGCACCGAAGTTATTACATCCTCATCATTTTATCCTAAACCGATGCCCCGCCATCGTATATAACAATAATCTCAGGACAATTCACACAGCGCCATCTAGACCCAAGTTAAGCTAGTTAAAGCTTGTGTTATGGGTACTAGATAACTGATACATATATATAAATATATTTTTTTGTAAATACATACATATTATACATAGATAACACCCAGACCGATATAAACAATCATACTCATGAATACAAGTGTTTGTGACGTGCGAGGAATCGAACCCGCGACCATCGGACGTAAAGCGGTGTGCTAGACCGCTAGACCACCGAGATCGTTGTATATCAATATTCTATTTATATTACAAGGTACACGCAAACGCGCTTATTTTCATTTTTGACTACTTTACTACCGATGGTCGCGGGTTCTATTCCTCGCACGGTACATTTGTATTCATAAGTATAGTTGTTTATATCGGTCTGGATGTTTTCTATGTATATTATTTACAAACAAATAATCTTAGTATTTTTATAAATTATCTAATACCCATACTACAAGCTCTGCTTACTTTAAGACTAGATTACGTTGTGTGAATTGTTCAGGGTTATTTATTTATTTTTCTAGATTCTAACCGTGATTGCTTTTTAACTTATGTTTGAATTTAAACTGTGTGAACTGTCATACAGTAACAGTCACCTGAATGAGATATCTAGTGTTAGTATTATTATTATGTTTAATATCAAAAATCATGTTCCATACATGTTTTTTTTATATATAGATTTCAACATAATAGAAAACCGTTATATATGTTGTATATTTTGTTGAAATCGCGATGTTATAATTTATTAATACTAGCACCACACAGGGATCGTAGTTAAGGGATGGGGTCAGTTTACACTGGGTTGGTACTGGCGCTGATATCTTGTAATCAAAATTAGTGATTCCACACTGTATAATTATGTATAATTAATATTAATTATATTAAAAAATCTCTAAATCAAAACAGAACAGTCAACACACTATTCTGACTATTCAGAGTTTTAAATACATATTTATGAATATATATTTTTAGTAACAGCATCTACTTTGTTTTCAGCATTGAAATTGTGTTTCAAATATATCAAAGTTCAGAGAAAAATTAATATATTTCTTTTAAAACATTTGTGTATGATCGAATTGGGTATGTACACAATTGTTTCTAAATTCCATTTGTTTGTTTGTTTGTAATACTTTATTGTACAATAATATTATAAATAAAAGAACACAATTGACTTAGAAAAAAAAAAACATGCGTACAATGGCGGACTTATCCCAGAAGAGGGATTTCTTCCAATTTGTATTATGGTAAATAATAATTGATTATCTCTAGTAGAGATAATCAATGATTTATTGTACTTCCCTATGCATATGCGATAGTTTCTTACTTAGAGAAGAATATACCTTACCATTACACATAATGGTAAGGTATATTCTTCTCTAAGTAAGAAACTATCGATTTCAATTATTATTGACTAAAAAGCAAACTGAGGTCGACTGAGAGAGAATGCTATAGCATGAAGTCCATTTTATACCATATTTTGTTGGTAAATAGATTTTGATTGAGTTTCGAATTTGACATCCATTTGATAGTCAACATTAGTTACAGTTAATCAATAAATTAATTATAAGCACTTTTGAATAGTCATATTTTTTTATTCTACTACTCATCACGAGAAGAAACTTGTGTGTTGCTCATTTGAATCATAACATGACACCGGTCATCCGCACCCCTAGGGGGGTTGAAGGAAGGAATTTCCCTACGTAACAATCGACTTGCACAATAAAAAGAGTGGCGCCAGTATCTTTCCCAATGTGAACGTCGAGTAGTAGTGTAAGAGGCGGGGGTCCGGAGCGGGTGGTGGGGGTGACGGGTTGACTTACGGCGGGCGGTGGGTGTGGCGAGTGCGAGCATGGTGACGACGTGGAGTTGACTTACGAATTCGAGGTTCCCGTCGTCGGCGAAGGCTCGCTGGAACGCCAGCGCGTTGGCCGCCGCAGCCTCCGCACCAGTCACCGCGCTCTCCGCGCTGCAGGCACAGACCAACACACACACTATACACGCGCTCATCTCATCTTATGAAACTACTAGCTTTTGCCTATTTATCCCCTTAGGGGTGGAATTTATCAAAATCCTTTCTTAGGGAAAGCTTACGTCATAGTAGCTTTATGCAAGCAAAGTCTCAGCCCGATCGGTTTAAAATTGACAAAGTTTCATACAAACTTTCATCTCCTATTTTATCCCTTTGGGGGTAGAATTAATCAAAATCCTTTCTTAGCGGATGCCTACGTCATAACATCTACCTGCATGCCAAATTTCGGCCCGATCCGTACAATAGTTTAGGCTGTGCGTTGATAGATCACTACGTCAGTCACCTTTGAGTTATATATGTTTAAATTTCATAAACTATTTACAGAAGTTTATCTGTTTGTTTTATCAGAAGAAAGTATATTTTGTTTTTTGAAGATTTAAATAAAAAGTTGATTTTAATGTTTTACTGTCTTTTTGTTACCACTTTCTATTACCAATACAAACCCGGGACTGTCCCGGGTTCCCGGAATTAACTGTAGATAATCCCGAAAACCCGGGATTAGAAAAATCGACCGGGATCGAATCCTCTAAGTGTGAGGTACTACTGTTTCTGTTTTATACGACTTCAGTGGTCTAGCGATCTAGCACACCGCTTTACGACCGATGGTCGAGTTCGATTCTTCGCACGGCCAAATATTTGTATTTATGAGTGTAATTGTTTGTATCGGCCTGGGTGTTTTCTATGTATATAATGTATGTATTTACAAAAAACTATGTATATGTATCAGTTATCTAGTATCCATAACAAAAGCTTTAGCTAACTTAACTTGGGTCTAGATGGCGCTGTGTGAATTGTCCTGAGATTACTATACACTATATACATAATTTTATAGATTCATTTCTTTATAGTATTTTTTACAAATAGTGTACGAATTCAAATGTATATGTATCTTTTCTTCTGGCAATAAATAAATATTATTATTCATTTATTGTAAAATATTATTTTGGTTGCAGGTTCCATTCCTACTACTACACTATTACATGTTACAACGTGTAATGGAATCTGAACCGGAACCCGGAACAACATATTTATGGTATATTGCTTACATTAAAAAGGCACAGTCGTTGTGTATCAATAATTAAATAGTTCGAAGGAGAATCGTGGGAACTGGCAAGAGCTCCACAAGACAAGAGCGCGGCTCCAAAATTATGAATGAATGAATTTTTTTACAACACAAGTCATCTAATCCCACGCTAAGCGAAGCTTGTGTTATGGGTACTAGACAACTGATATAAATACATAGATACATTTTTAAATGCATACATAATATACATAGAAAACACCCAGACCGATACAAGCAATCATACACATGAATATAAATGTTTATACCGTGCGAGGATTCGAACCCGCGGCTATCTGATGTGAGGCAATGAATACATAATACTGACAGTTCTGCATCAGGCACCCTGCGGGCGGGGACTCCGCCGTTAGGTGCGGAGGCTGCGAGATGGTTGAGCTCCTTCTTCTCGAAGTGGTCCAGGAACAGCGGCCGGTATTTGGGTCTATTCGTGTCCATGGGGTCCGTGTCGTGACCTGTCACCGATCAGATAATTTCATTAAACATACTTTATATATTTTTAATGTTCAATAGATAAAGAAGGAATCGCAGGAAGCTGACTGACTCTGGTCATCCGCACCCCTCTTAGCGGGATGAAGGTATGCAGAGGCGAGCTCCTTTGCCTCAGTTTGTCTTATTTTTAATGTACGAGAGACATGTTAAAAATGAGAAGTCGTTTCCATTGTCTCACAGAGTGAACATTTCAAAAGTATTTCTCGTGACTTCCGAGCTTGGCTTTCCAAATATGAATGAACATTGAATTTTAGTTACTAAGGTTTACTCATACATTCATCAAGTCATCTCATTTCAAACCAGTTTAAAATACAGTCTTTCCATTACACAACTTGTTTAGCATAGTTTTACTGTAATAAACAACAAACATACATGCAAACGCTATCGTATATACATATAAATGTCCAGCTGTCGACATACATATATTGCAAAATGCTGGCATTATACATAATGTCAAATTTGTCAAGAGCGATGTGGCATTCCATATTTATCCATTACAGAACCAAACTAGTTCAAGTAATTACACGGGGCTGGTACGTACGCTTCATGGTGTCGAGGTCCCTGTCCCTGTCCCTGTCCCTGTCGGGGTCGGGGTCCCTGTCCCGGTCGCGGTCGAGGTGGTGGTTGATGACCATGGTGCCGAGGTCGGCTGCGAGGTCGTCCCGGGCGGGCACCAGGGTGCCGTCCTGGCGCGCCTGCCGCATCGTCGCCTCGGGGTACTCCGCCTCCTGCCTCACGCCCCCCCACCACCATCAACACTGCACCCTATTGACCGTCCGGTCGCTAGCTGACCGTGTGCTCAACGAGGTGTAGTGAGTATTAGTGATTGTTCTTTGCCGTTCGTTTTAGTTAGTGCATCACCGCGTGGAATTTAACTTTATTTATAAAATCAAAATAGCCTAGGTCATTCCTTATTACATCAGCTAAATGCCAATAAGTCCCGTCAAAATCGGTTCAACCATTTCAGAGATTAGCCGGAACGAACAGACAGACAGACAAAAATCGTAAATATAGATATTTTTACAATTTTTTACTCTCAAAAAGAATAAATTTCGGTCATGTTTACATTTTCATTCAATCTCCAATCCTATTGGGCATAGTATGATATTGTATTATGTATGTAGTCTTTGGTATAATTAATCTATGATGTTTATGACGTAGTCTGTGCAGTTAATAAAGACTGTATTATAAAATGGCGGGAACGGCCATATTAAATATGAAGCAAATTAATGTTTTATTTAAATACTAGCTGACTCCGCAAACATTTGTTTTACACTACAAATTAAAATCGCTATTAAAAAATAGGGGTTGATGGTAGAAGGGTGAAAAATTGGGGTTGTATTTTAATACAAAATTATAAAAAAAAAAATATTAACAAAAACTAAAAAAAAAACGTTAAAACCCTTATCACTTAGGGGTATGATAAAGAAAATAGATAGTATCGTATTCTAAGACCTACTGAATATGCATATAAATTTCATAAAAGTCGATCAAGCCGTTTCGGATGAGTATGGTAACTAACATTGTGACACGAGAATTTTATATATAAGATTTAAATACAGTACAATTATATAGCCTATACGCATAGGCGTATAATAGGCAACCTCAATACCTTCCTCGATAAATGACCTATTAAAGCAACAACACAAGAAATTACTATCCCATCAAAAACATAAATGTGAAATGATAGCCGAGTTTAATATTATGATATATGCCTTGATTGTTGACTTCTACAACAAAACAGATGAGATCTAAATGGGTGCCAAGTTCAATGGTCTGTCCTGAAATGTATTTATAACAATATAAAATATCATTTCTTCTTATAACTTAGGATAATATACTGTAGCCTAAGGTCTGTACTATTATGTACTAAATAACAGTTTGAGATATGTTTATGAAATTTGGAACACATATTTATCTCGCAAGTCTCAATAAATGAACCAAATTTGACAGGTTTATGTGAAAGAGTTTTTGAGTTATGAGGGGGTCAAAAGTGGCTCCAAATAGTTCGTGTAAATATACACACGGTGCTGCTCGCCAATTCTCTTACTTGAAACTCAGCTTGACACGCTACTGCGTGTCTAGATTTCTATAGGAATATATCACTCAGTGTCGGTCTTAGAGGGTGGCGTACAGGGCAATCGCCCGGATAACAAACCAAGCAAATTTTAAACAACTAGTAAGTGCCTCGCAAAGACCTGGCGCCTGGAGCCTCGCAATGGGTATAGCTGCCGTTGATATCACTTGTATATCTTAATTTTAATCTTATATATAAAATTCTCGTGTCACAGTTTTCGCTCCCATACTCCTCCGAAACGGCTTGACCGATTCTCATGAAATTTTGTAAGCGTATTGAGTAGGTCTGAGAATCGGTCAACATCTATTTTCATCCCCATAAATGTTAGGGGTAGTCTACCCCTAAATTTTTATTTTTTATTTTAAGGAAAACAACGTTTGCCGGGACAGCTAGTAATATTATAAACGCGAAAGATTATGAGTATGTTTATTACTCTTTCAAGCAAAAACTACTAAACAGATTTTGATGAAACTTTACAGTAATATATCAAACATATCACTTATGCATCAGAATAACAAAGACTATATTTTTAAATGAAATTTATCACGGATGAAACCGCGGGTTCAACTAGTTAATCATAAAACTAACTCTGGTTACGTTGTGACTAGATAGCGCTGTGTAAATTGTCCAAGGTTCTTATGATTATTACTGACCGATGCAAACGCCTTCGCATTCCCGGTAGCCTGCGCAGTCCGGAACGCCTGGCTCTCTCTTATCTCGCGCGCTTCCGCGATCATCGTGCTCAGGATGCTGGGGTGCTTCGCGTTGCCTGAAACACGTATAAAACCATACATCTTTTAGCACTGTCTTGTTTCTTCCTATTGATATGTAGCCACCGTCGTCAATATACATGAATCTACAGATATTCGATCCCCCGTCAAATTTAAACGGGGATCGATATTACGACGGCCTGAGCCGAGGTTCGAAACCCTAGCGGTGCCCTCAGACTAAAGTTGTATCCGTCACACAGGAATCGACCTTCAGCGCCTTATAAGTCCTTCCGCGGGTTTGGAGTGCCATCTGCACTCACACCCTATCGTCCGGTGAAGCTGACAGCTTTAGAATAGTTCCAAAAAAAATGTATGAGTCTGTGACCCATACAGTCTGTATGCTATGATGTATAAATGATAAATTTCGCGACCCCATCGTTTGGTGAAGATGAAAATACAAGCTGCGGCTAACAGCATTAGAGTAGTCCGAAAAAACGCCCATATTATCAAATATATATTTATTTTCAGTATTGGACAGCTTTCTCTACTGCTAAATGATACTCAGACACTAGTACAGGCTGAAGCTATCGAGTACAGTGTTATCCATCCACAGGATGTAGTCAACTTTCACCGTGAGTTAGTGAGGATATTGTTGCTTCTAAGAACATATATATATATATATAATGAATGAGTCTGCTGTGACCCGTACAGTTTGGATGGTATGATGTTCTATAAATGTTAAATTTCTATATTGAAAAAAATAACTATATTGAATATAAGATGCTTGAGTATGGACTGGGTGGAAAGTGTTACGCTTTAGTCATACCTATATGTATTTCATATATGGATTTGGAATGGTATAATATGCTGTCTACTGTACAATAATGTAAATTAAAATACAAAACAATCATAACATAATACCAATGAACTCGTGCGCCAAGAGGAACTCAGCAGTGGCCCTCTCCTCGGGGTTCTTGATGAGGCATTGGCTCACAAAGTCTATGAACTCACTCGACCATTGGTCCGGTTCCCTGCAATCACATTATTATTATAAAGCTTTCATTTCAATGTATATACTTATTCTATAACACACATAAGTTTCTTGCTCGTTCTTTTTGTGACGAGACAACTTTCGAAAGAGCGGTAGATTAAAAAAAAATAATTTGAATAAATGTTCTATTCTATTCTATTCTATTCTATAATTAAATTTTTAAATATATATTTCTAGTTTAATTATTTAGTTTCTTTAGGTATGCTCCCATGTGGGTAGAAGCCTCTTCAGCTTGCTCCATGTTGCCTGTTTATACATAGCTACAAAGACTCGAAGGACCATCCACATTTATACATTGATTGATTATATATAAAACCGCCTTGGTTGAATGCTACTCGCCCCGATTTTTATTACTAAAATAAATATAATGAGGTGTCGCACAGAGCAGTACATGTATTATATATATAATATATACCTTCCCCCGGCGTCGCACGAGTGTTGAATATATAAACCTTCCTCACTCTATCTATTAAAAAAGCAGCTTCAAAATCCGTTGCGTAGTTTTAAAGATTTAAGCATACATAGGGACAGACAGCGACAGCGACTTTATTTTATACTATGTAATAATAATAATGATGAACATACCTAAACGAGGGTGGTGGTTTGGTGGGTATCATGAATATAGCTCGCATGGGGTGTATATCTCCATAGGGCGGTTTCCCCTCCGCCATCTCGAGGGCTGTGATCCCCAGCGACCAGATGTCTGCCACGCAGTCGTAGCCGATCTCTTGTATCACCTCCGGCGCCATCCAGAACGGCGTGCCGATCACTGTGTTACGTTTCGCCATTGTGTCCTGGAATAAATATATTCAACAATAAAAAAAACTATTGACATATTCTGAAAAAAAAAAAATAGAGCCATTTAAAGTTAGCTGAGCCCGTGACTTCATTCGCGTGGTTATCAAAACCACTATCGCGATTTTTTGCCGTTTTTGCAACATTTCTCACTGATGCTTTATATAGAAATAGAAATAGAAATAATCTTTATTCAAATAAACTCATTACAAGCACTTTTGAATAGTCATATTTTGATTCTACCACTCATTCGGAATGCAGATTCATCACAAGAAGAATGAGCAAGAAACTTGTGTGTTGCTCTTTTTAATAGATGTTTTTTTTATATAAATAATTACAGTGTAACAAGTAAGAGGCATGCGACAATCAACATAGAAATCGCTACGCACTCATTATTAGTGTAATCAGATAATATTGTCAGTGCTATGTATTTAAAAATTTTCTACAAAAACATTATTATCGTTAACGAATTCTTCAATTTTATAGTAAGATTTTTTGCAAAGGAACTGTTTTATTTGACATTTAAATCTTTTTTCTGGCAGATTTATAACAGACTCTGGTATTTTATTGTAAAACCTTACGCAATTGCCATAAAACGAATTACTAACTTTAGCCAAACGACATTTAGGTAAAATATAGCATTAATATATATTATATAAAATATATAATATGTATAGCTTAAAGCCTTCGAAAAATGGACTTTCCAATACAAAAGGAATTTTACAATTTATAATCTTATATATAAACAAACGCTTCTCTTATATATAAAATTCTCACAGTTTTCGTTCCCATACTCCTCCGAAACGGCTTGACCGATTCTCATGAAATTTTGTGAGCGTATTGAGTAGGTCTGAGAATCGGCCAACATCTATTTTTCAAATGTTAGGGGTAGTCCACCCCTAATTTTTTTTTTATTTTAAGCAAAACAACGTTTGCCGGGACAGCTAGTATTATATAGTATAGATGTTAATTTTCGCGGAGGAGCAATCATTTCAGGATTGTTACAGCCTTGTGTGATTGTTACTGCAAGAACTATAAAGCTCGCTGTAAAGTTCAAACTTGTGGCGGCGTGGTGGGTCGGGTTAATGTGCTTCCTCTAATATGATTGAGTGCAATGACTGACTGATGAATGACTATTTGCTTTTGACAAAATTGCTATAGCACATACTGAGGTTCACTGTATTCTTCAAAATTTGAATTTAAAAATGAATCTGTATTATTGTAAACATGTACAACATTTATTTGAAAAGAATACGAGCTGAGTTTCTTGTCAGTTCTTCTCAATCTCGAAATCATTCCGAAATAAAATGAAATTAATACTTATTGCTTAAAATGTGGTACATAAGTGGTTTCAAAGGTCTTTACAATTAGTTCCACACATTTTGCCATTGACGACCTTTTTGATTTTGTCATTGATCGAACTAACGGTAGATTTTATATCATAAGAGTCTGTAATAGACCTACATGAATAAAGATATTTTGATTTGATTTTATAAACTCAACATACTGTTAGTTGACCGGCAACGCCGAAGTCAGCCAGTTTCGCATGCCCCTCAGTGTTGAGCAGGATGTTCCCGGCTTTGATGTCGCGGTGGATTTTTCTTCTCCGGTGCAGATACTCCAAGCCCTTGAGGGTGTCACATAGGATCGTTGCGATCTCGTCTTCTGAGAGCGTCTTCTTCCGTAACCTCATTATGTCTGACACTGAACCGGCTCCGCAGTATTCCATCACGATCTGAAAAACAACCGCGCATATAATTATGATTTTTGAACTGTTTTGATGGCCTCTGTGGTCCAGCGGTTTAAGCCACCGCCTTAATACCGATGGTCGCGGGTTCGATTCCTTGCACGGCATGAACATTCGTATTCATTAGTATGATTGTTTGTATGGGTCTGGGTGTTTTCTATGTATAATATATTATGTATTATTAAATCACACAACGCCGTGTACTCCCAAGCTGAACATGTAAATACATAGAAAACATGCAGACCGATACAAACAATCATACTCATGAATACAAATATTTGCACTGTGCGAGTAATCGAACCCGCCACGTAAACTAAGACGGAGTGCTAAACCGCTAAACTACCGAGGCTATATTACCCATTTCTCACTATCGTGTACAAGCAGCAACGCAACGCAACAAAAGGACCGTTCTGATAGAAGCGCACACCCATCCAATTAAAATTCGCAACGTAACGTAACAGACTTCAAAAATCAATTCGATCGATTAACGTACTTTTGTTCACTCAATCAATTTGTAATTAACAGTTTATTTACCCAATAAATTCAAGACAGCAAACAAAATCAATCATTTTTTACACCCTGTAATCTGCTGAGGCCATCATAAAGTACCATCTGAACATTCGAGCCGCGAAAGATTCGAGAGGGGAAAGGGACTGTTAGTAACTCTCTATCAACCGCAGTAAATGTATCATGTCGTACGTAACGTAACAGACTTCAAAAATCAAATTTATCGATGCAAAGTACTTTTCTTCATCATCTTCCAATGCCCCAATTTATAATTAACAGTTTATTTACCCAAAAAATTCAAGATAACAAATCAACAAAATCAACAAAAAAAACAAATAAAGTACCATCTGAACATTCGAGTCGCACTGCGATGATGGAGATCTCCTTGATGATCTCCTGCAGGTCCGTGTCCACTGGCACCTGCTTGATGGCCAGCACCTGCCCGCTCTCCTTGTGTAAAGCCTGGAATGGACAGCATTGTGAATTGTTACCAAATGTACATGCATGAGATGCTTTATTTTTCAAGTTTATATTAATTTTTATGCAATGAATGTGTAAAATATCATGATAAATTCAAACGATGAATTTATCACGAGGTGAACCCCTAGTGGTGCCCTCAGACTAAAGTCGTATCCTCATTCTCATCTGATCATCTTCCACTGATGCCCCACCAGCGTAATCCGTTAGCGCAGGTAAAGAAAGACATTCATTAAAATTTCCGTGCATAGTGTAGAATAAAAATAAAGAAACCTCATCATAATAAAAATTTCAATTACGAAGACCAAATTAATTCCTGCCTTAAAGAAGTAGGTGATTGGCATCACGTAAAAAACAAAATCAATTTGCTATTATAAAACATTAATTGAAACAATACGTCAGTATAACGACCAATTAATCGTGAAGATCAATAAAATTTTTAGGACTTACATTGGACATGCACCCAATTGGAAAGATCATATCAATAATCTTGTACCAAAATAAATAAATTTATATATGCACTTAAACGATTAAGAAATACTGCAAATGTAAACACTGTACTTACCACGGTTATGTCGGATCTTTACTTAGGTATGGTATATTATTGTGGGGTAATTCAACATTTGTAAACAAAGCATTAATTGCACAAAAAAAATGTTTACGTGCAATCTATGGTATACAACCTAGGATGTATTTCCGGAACAATAAAATTCTCACAGTGATTTCTCTGTATATCATGGAGATCGGTGTATTCGTTAAAAAACATCCACTTTTGTTCCAAAAGATTACAGCATGCTTTGATAGACGGGATCCAACAAAATTAGTTATCCCGCTTGTAAAACTCTCTTCATCAAAAAAGTTGCTATTTAATGGCCATAAAAATATATAATAAAATCCCCCGTCACTTTAAAGAATTGACCATAAATTCAAATACCAATTCCGTGAATTGACAATTGTTTTTATACTATAAATGAATTTTTCGCTAAAAGCTAGGAGTTATATTTAGAATTATTTAGAATTATTAGATAATAAAATTAGTAGTATTGTGTGATATATTTGTATAATATTGATTGTAACTAAAATAAATGTCACGTATCTATCTATATTTGACATACAATACAATTTCTAAACGTAAATTCATTAATTCTATTGTATAATTTGTATATTATTAAAATTTTTGCATGCCAAAACAATGGCGAAATATGTGGACAATTTTATTAATACTGACATTCTTTTAATATTTATACCATATTTCATGCAAAATAAATACATTTCATTTCATAAAGAAACCAGATGTTAGGGGAAAGGTATCATTAAAAATAGAAAATAAGATATGGAATGAAATTTATTATAAATATAAATATAGTGTTTTAAAATATAATAAAAATATTTTAAATGGATTAACACTAGAACTAAAACACAAATTTCTAGAAAATCTGAATGTTCCAGTTTCCCAGGACAAAAGAAATGAGCAAATCTTTGTACATGTTTAAAATTTTGAGTCTCGAATTATTTTCACACATATCTAGTCGTATAAGCATAGAAGGTAATACAGCCTATGAGATCCACGTCCTAAAAAAGAGATACATTCTTTTTTTAGCGAAGCAATCTAATATAAAAATTTGACGTTCAGAAGCAGCTAAAATGTCCTACATGAATAAATGATTTATGAATTTGAATTTCTAAAAATTGGATGTTTTAGTCAATTATTATTGTAAACCTTACTTGTCCAGGGCACTCTATACTGCGAGTGATATGAACATAATATATATCTTATGTTACTCTGGAATTATATACTTTTCAAATAGTAAATGAATATCTCAAAACGTTGCAGTTAGTTCAGGAATTTACTTTCATGATAAATTCGTGTTAGTTACATACATGTTGTAAAGCAAAAAAAAACTTAATTATTATCTTATATATAAAATTCTCGTGTCACAGTTTTCGTTCCCATACTCCTCCGAAACGGGTTGACCGATTCTCATGAAATTTTGTGAGCGTATTGAGTAGGTCTGAGAAACCTATTTTTCATCCTCCTAAATGTTAGAAGTAGTCCACCCCTAATTTTTTTTTTTTTATTTTAAGGCAAAACAACGTTTGCCGGGACAGCTTTAATATAGATTCCAAAATAGGTCTGCTATTTTCTTTCTGTTTTAGTAATGTACGGATTTACTCTTCCCTTACTTTCCTCATGATAAAATTTACGCTGGGCATCTCATACATATTGTAAAGCAGACAATAAACTTCATTATTATCTTTATATATAAAATTATGTCACGTTCTTTGTCGGCAATGGACTTCTAAACTAATCGGTTCACGATTGCAAATTATGTGTAATTTGATCCAACTTGAAAGATAGGATAGCTTACATCTCAATTTTTAGTCGCAATATTATTTTATTCAAGAACCTTAGCCACAGCAACATGTGGACGGGTCTGCTAGTTTAATATAGATTCCAAAATAGGCCTGGTTCTTTTACTTTCCTCATGATAAATTCACGCTAGACATCTCACACATATTGTAAAGCAAAAAAAACTTAATTTTTTTTTTTATAACACAGGGGACAAACAAGCATACGGCTCACCTGATGGTAAGTGATTACCTCCGCCCATGAGCACCCGCAACACCAGGGGAATTGCAAGTACGTTGTCGGCCTTTTAAAAATGAATAAGCTCTTTTCTTGAAGGTTTCAATATCGTATCGGTTCGGAAATACCATTGCTGGAAGGTGATTCCACAATGTGGTTGTGCGAGGCAAAAAGTTTCTAGAAAACCGTACTGTGGAAGACCGCCATTCATCCAGATGATCAGGATGGTATTATATATATTCTTATTTGATATTATTTATATATATTCTTATTTGTATATTCTTATTTAATATAGATTCTAAAATAGGTCTAGTGTTTTATTTACGTTTTTGTAGTAATGTACGTAACTCGAGGGTGCTATTACGTAAAGCGATTAACATCTGACCTTCGTAACCCATACCATGGGCCGTGGGGTGAGCCAAACACCTGCCTTATAACGCTATACTATTTTATAGATTGTTATTTAATGACATCTGCTTGTAGCGAGTTATTGAAAAAATGAAAGTACTTATTCAAACCCGTGCATAGCGTAAAATTCAAAATTCAAAAATTATTTATTCATGTAGGACATTTTAGCCGCTTATGAACGTCAAATTTTTACATTATAATTTTATTTTTTCCCTACCGTCCGTATACAATGTTATCTTCTTCTAATATAAAGTCTCGTGGCAATTGCCATACTCCTTCAAAAAGAATTGACCGAATCTGATGAAATTTTATATATAGACTAAAAGTATTAGGCACCCCAGAAAAAGCATAATTCATGTTTACCAATTGAACAATGAATAAATGCTTATCTTAGATGGCATGCCGGGGTCACAAATAACTTCCTAGAAAAGCAAACATCTATTTGTTATGGTCATAAAACACGTGGTGACTGAAAATAAAGGATTTGTTTTTTTGCGTTATTATTAATCAATGTTCGGTCACTTGTGTTCAGAGCTCTAACGAATAAACAAGCTTATTTCTAACTCAGTGATTAAATTGACGCGTAATTTACTTAAAAATACCGAAAATAAGTGATATTAGTTTGGAAAATCTAGTAAAAATCCAACTTCTCCATGAACAGGGGAAGTCGTAAAAAGAAATTGCTAAGTTAGATCGACCTCCACGCGGTTCCCCCTGGAAACCATCGTGATAAATTCCCGCTGAATTTGTCACGTTGGGCTAACTGATCTGACTTCATGTTAATCTTATCATCCTCCACTGGTGCCCCGCCAGCGTAAACCGTTAGCGCAAGCGGGTGCACCATTCCATTATAATAAAAAAAAAAATAGTACATGTACACATATACATATATAGATTTACCTTGTACACACTTCCATATGAGCCCTCTCCTAATTTACATATGATGTCGAACACTTCCTCGGGCTGCCGGGTCAGACTCTCCTCTGACAGCTTCTTCAGCTCACTGCAACAACACATACACTTATTTATAAAATATATAATATTTTATAATTGTCTTTATGAAATTGCAATGGAAAACAAACGGGCCCAACTGATGGGACCATGATTCCATCACCTCTTGTTTATGAAATATATCATCTTATCTTATATATAAAATTCTCGTGTCACAATTTTCGTTCCCATACTCCTCCGAAACGGGTTGACCGATTCTCATGAAATTTTGTGAGCGTATTGAGTAGGTCTAAGAATCGGCCAACATCTATTTTTCATCCCCCTAAATGTTAGGGGTAGTCCACCCCTAATTTTTTATTTTTATTTTAAGGCATAACAACGTTTGCCGGGACCGCTAGTATTTTATAACTTTCTCTGTGAAATGGCAATGGAAAACAAACGGGCCCAACTGATGGACTACAATTCCATCGCCTATATACATATGGTACATGAACAACAACTTGGCAATCACAGAACATAAACAATTAAGAAGTTAATAATGCAAATGTAGTACATATAAATGAAATTTGAGTGTCTGTTTGTAATATTGAAATAACCGTTTTTTACTACATGAATATAAATACATACATACTACATGAATTTACTACATGAATATAAGTGCATACACAAAAATAACATTTTTTACAATTTTTGTCTGTCTGTCTATTTGTTCCGGCTAATCTCTGAAATGGCTGGACCGATTTTGCCGGGACTTTTTTTGGCTGGTATCTGATATAATAAGGAGTAACTTAGGCTACTCTTATTTTACAAAAATAAAGGTAAATTCCACGCGGACGAAGTCGCGGGCACAGCTAGTTTATTAAATAAATATTGATTAGGTATACAGTTAATAAATAATAAAATATGAAATCAAATAATAAACTATTAAATTCTCATTCCAAAATATATAAATTTGAAGTGCATAGCTGCGTGCGAAGTTTCCCCCTTATCTATGCTATATTTATGTACATATACATATTCAAAACATATAAAAAAAACGTGACTACAACTTTTTCACACACAAAGTACATCGGCCAGATATGATATCTGTGCCCACTGCCCTTATCTGGCCCATCCGGACCGGACCCATGTCATTCACTCCTCTATTTTGTTTAATTACAATATTTATGTTACCACTAGCTGTACCGAATTTAACTTAATTTTCCTAAAATAAAAGATTTATTCTAAAATAAAAGTAGCCTAAGTTACTCCTTATTACATCAGCTACCTGCCAATAAAAGTCTCGTCAAAATCGGTCCAGCCATTTCAGAGATTAGCCGGAACAAACAGACAAACAGACAAACAAAAATTGTAAAAAATGTTATTTTGGTGTATTTAACATATTTTTATTCATATGCATGTAGTAAAAAACCGTTATTTCAATATTACAAACAGACACTCCAAATTTATTTATATGTATATGTAGATGAACAGCAAGAGACCAGACAGACAGACTAAAAATTGTAAAAAAATGTTATTTTGGTGTATGTACCGTATTTATATTCATATGCATGTAGTAAAAAACGGTCATTTTTAATATTACAATCAGACACTCTAAATTTATTTATACGTATAGATGAACAGCAAGAGTTATATGTTGAATATTTGAATCGTTTGTTCCATTGTCTGTAGCTAATAAAAAAATTGTAATTGTTATTGTAATGTTAGTGTATATTTAACAGATAACTTGTAAATAATAACATCGGGCCAGTCTTTCATCGTAACTCTCTGAGCCCTCTGGCCTCGATAGTCCAGTGGTTTAACACACCGCTTTACTTCCAATGGTCGCGGGTTCGATTCCTCGCACAGCACTAATATTAGTGTTCATGAGTATGATTTTTATTATCGGTCTGGGTATTATCTATGTATATTATGTATGTATTTACGAAAAGAAAAATATCTATGTATTTGTATCAGTTTTCTAGTACCCATAACACAAGCTTTAGCTAGCTTAACTTGGGTCTAGATGGCGCTGTGTGAAGTGTCCTGAGATTATTATTATTATTATTATTTCCGTAGTTTCACAATATACATTTTTTTTTATATATATATATATATATATATCTCCCTTTGATGGGGTAATAGACTTATCATTGCGGGTAAAAACCACCAAACAATGACAGTATAAATGATGAAATAGAAATAGAAATAATCTTTATTCAAATAAACTCATTACAAGCACTTTTGAATAGTCATATTTTGATTCTACCACTCATTCGGAATGCAGATTCATCACAAGAAGAATGAGCAAGAAACTTGTGTGTTGCTCTTTTTAATAGATGTTTTTTTTTATATAAATAATTACAGTATAACAAGTAAGAGGCATGCGATAATCAACATAGAAGTCGCTACGCACTCATTATTAATGTAATCAGATAATATTGTCAGTGCTATAGATTTAAAGTTTTTCTATAAAAACATTATTATCGTGAACGAATTCTTCAATTTTATAGTAAGATTTTTTGCAAAGGAACTGTTTTATTTGACATTTAAATCTTTTTTCTGGCAGATTTATAACAGACTCAGGTATTTTATTGTAAAACCTTACGCAATTGCCATAAAACGAATTACTAACTTTAGCCAAACGACATTTAGGTAAAATCAGTTTGTTATTGTAACGTAAGCTAAAGCTACGATGAATGGTGCAACATATCGAATCCGCGACCATCGAAAGTAAAGTCACCATAACCGCTATACCACCGAGGCCTTCAAATGTTAGGTACTACGTCATCATCTGCTTCTTCCTTATCCCATTTATTTGGGGTCGGCGTAATATGTTTTTCTCTTCCATTCATCTCTGTTCGCAGTCATTCCGTTATTTACTCCCTTTCTCACCATATCATATTTCACACAGTCCATCCATCTCTTTTTCGGTCTTCCTCTACCCTTATAACCATCCACATTCATATGTAACACCGTCCTTAGGATATGATCTTCATTCCTACGCATTACATGCCCATACCACGATAAACGATTACTCTTTAACCTCTCTGACATCGGTGCCACTTTCATACTTCCTCTGATGTTAGGTACTACGTACAATACCTAATTAACATGTAGGTTTACGTGCGTGCCTATTCCCCGGAGATACAGGTTCATTTATAGAAGTTAATAAAAAATACGGTTCATATAACTCAAGAGACAATGCGATTTATTATTAAATATCACGATACGGCCTGAAACCTTGAATCTTTGTAAACCATGGCCGACAGGAAAATCTATATCATCATTACATAGTATAAAACAAAGTCGCTGTCAGTCTGTCCCTATGTATGCTTAAATCTTTAAAACTACGCAACGGATTTTGTATTTTTTTAATAGATAGAGTGATTCCAAAGGAAGGTTTATATATATAATACATGTACACCCGTGCGAAGCCGAGGCGAGTAGCTAGTTATATATGTGGGTGCGAAATCGGGGCAAGTAATTAGTATGTATAAAGAATGAATTTCTGTTCGTTAGTCTCGCTAAAACTCAAGAACGGCTGAACCGATTTGGATAATTTTTGTCTCGAAATATTCCTGAAAATTTAGGGAAGGTTTAAACGGTGATAAAATATGAAGAAATTGCATGGAGAATATTAAAAACAGTAGTTTTATTTTCCCATACAAACTGTCAAACAGGGTACGATCAGAAATTTATTGCGTAACTAAACTTCAAAATTCCTTTAATTCTGAACGGAGAACAGAGTTTGCGGGGTCAGCTAGTCTAATATATAAAATTCTCGTGTCACAAGTTTCGTGTTTATACTCCTACGAAACGGCTTGTCCGATTTTGATAAAATTTTATACGTATATTCAGGTCTGAGAAGCCATCCTTAACACGTAGGGGTATAAAAACCTAATAACAAATTTTTATACCCCTAAGTGACTGACTCAGCCCAAAAAATATTTTTCTATTTTTCAACAATTTTTTTTTATTATGTGGCATTAAAGAAATATTTATTTTTTAATAGCCTGCTGTCTTGTATGGATCTGAGTGCTGGCCCGTAAAGGCGACGGATGAAAGACGACTGCATGCAACTGAAATGAGAATGTTGAGGTGGATGTGTGGTGTGACAAGAATGGATAAGATAAAGAACGAATACATTAGAGGAAGTATGAAAGTGGCACCGGTGTCAGAGAGGTTGAAGAGTAATCGTCTATCATGGTATGGACATGTAATGCGTAGGAACGAGGATAATATTTTTAGAAAGGTGTTACATATGAATGTGGATGGTTATAAGGGCAGAGGAAGGTCAAAAAAGAGATAGATGGACTGTGTGAAAGATGATATGGTAAGAAAGGAAGCAAATAACGCGATGACTGCGAACAGGGATGAATGGAAGCGAAAAACATATTACACCGACCCAAATAAATGGGATAAGGAAGAAGCAGATGATGATATTTTTTAATAGCGATTTTAATTTATATGGCAAAACGTTTGCGGTGTCAGCTAGTACATATATATAAACGTTATCAGAACCTGAAATAATAACGCCAACAATACAATAGGAAAAACATATTTTTGCTACGTAACTACTAAGTAATAATAACAATACAAACATATACAAAACAGGCAAATAACTGAACAAAATAACATGATGCAATATATTTATTGTTGGATGTGCAATAAAAAAAAACCGAAAAAAACACTAGTGGAGACCGAGGCCGACAATAGTAGTTTTTTTTAACTACTAGCTGTTCCCGCGACTTCGTCTGCGTGGAATTTAAATTTATTCTAAAAGAAAAGTAGCCTAAGTTACTACTTATTACATCAGCTAACTGCCAAAAAAAGTCCCGTCAAAATCGGTCCAGGCATTTCAGAGATTAGCCGGAACAAACAGACCGACAGACAGACAAAAATTATAAAAAAAAATATATTTTGGTGTATATACCGTATTTATATTCATATGCATGTAGTAAAAATCGGTTATTTCAATATTACAAACAGACACTCCAATTTTATTTATATGTATAGACTATGGTCGTATTCAGTGGTCTAGTGGCACACCGCTTTACGACCGATGGTCGCGGGTTCGATTCCTCGCACGGCACAAACATTTGTATTCATGAGTATGATTGTTTGTATCGCTCTGGGTGTTTTCTATGTATAATATGTATGTATTTACAAAAAAAAAAGTCTATTTATTTGTATCAGTTATCTAGTACCCATAACAAAAGCTTTAGCTAGCTTAACTTGGGTCTAGATGGCGCTGTGTGAATTGTTCTGAGATTATTATTATTATTATATAAAAAATTTAAAGAAAAGCATTTAAAATTCATCTGTGAGAGTCCTTAAACTCACCCCTGAGGAAGCTCATTAGCGCTCATTCTGTCAGAACGCCTTTTCTTGCAGGTGTTGCAGTCGAGGGTTGGTGCACCACCCTCCCACACACCGCTCTTCCAAAACACTAGCCTACCCTCGCTATCCATGTGGGATAATCATTGTCACAACCCCACAATCATTGCTTTATCAACACAAGCCACAAACTGAGTTTACACTGGAGTTATCAATCGACTGACAGTTGATTGTTATATAAATACATTTGTATAATTGACGATCGGACGTTATAAAAACTTATCTAAATACCTATAATAATATAACATCGTACATTTATTATATAAAATCGTAAACAAGCCGTCAACATTAAAAGTAATATTAGTCAGACAGCCTCGGTGGTCTAGTGGTTTAGCACACCGCTTTACTATCCGATGGTCGTGGGTTCGATTCCTCGCACGGTACAAACATTTGTATTCGTGAGTATGATTGTTTGTATCGGTCTGGGTGTTTTCTATATATAATATGTATTTATTTACAAAAAGAAATGTATCCATGTATTTATATCAGTTGTCTAGTACCCATAACACAAGCTCGCTTGGGATTAGATGGCGCTGTGTGAATTGTCCTGAGATATTAATATTACACAAATTAATATGACCTTCTACTTAGATTAACAACGTAAAAAAATCGTTTTTAGACTTATTCCATCGCACATTTATACACACTAATCACAAAAACGGCTGTACCGATTTAAATGCGGATTTCACTGAATATTACAGCACGGTTTCCGTAACTATATTTGTTACATTCGCACCGGTTCACAAACAGAAAGCTAAGTTAATAACTATTTCGAATAAAATTCACGTTCCTATCAACATAATGGAAGTCCACTGAGCAAATCGTTTTATATCACGCGGACACAAGGAGAGTTTACGTAACCAAGCGTACAGCATCAACCAGAGATCAACAAATGCTCACTCCCGAAATAAACACACGTATCCTTCCAGAAACGAGCGTGAAACACGACCGCTACCTACAAAGTCTCAAACTGTACTGGCTTTGATGTTCAAGTTCCCAAGTTCAGATTTCAAACACGATTCTAGGACATAGGCTTGTGCCAACTGGGAACTGAAGTCGCGTCACGGTCTAGAATAGATCGCAACATTTGTAAGTTATCTTGATTTTAGCGCATTTCTTTGTTCCTTCAGAAAGTGTAGTTTCTTGCTTGAAGGAATAATAACCATGCATCCATCCATACTCATAAACACTCGCTTCTATAATATTAATGAAATAAGATTTTCCAATTAAATATTTATTAACTTTGTACCTTTTTTTAAATTCCCGTCCGTCTCATGGTTTTTTTTTATGGATGATAATGGAATGGTTCACCCGCCTGCGCTAACGGTTTACGCTGGCGGGGCACCAGTGGAGGATGATAAGATGAGCATGAGGTCAGGTCAGTTAGCCCATCGTGACAAATTCACTAAGAATTTATCACGATGGTTTCCAGGGGGAACCGCGTGGAAGTCAATCTGACATGGTACATTGCTAGCAATGGGGTTATCAATCCACATTACTAACAATCCCTTTCCCCCGTCTCAAGGGTTTTTTTTTTTTTGCACCCGCCTGGATGATAATGTCTTTCGTCTCAAGGGTTGGACGGACGCGTGGAGGTCGACTGTAAGACTCCTACAAAAAAACGTCTCAGGGTTGGACGGAATACCGGCGGCACTACAATACCGGACCGGACGACCGTGACGGGACAAAATGATTTACAAAAATCAGTTTAATATACTGGTCCCTCAGTGAGGGAACTTTCAGATATTAAGCTGAGAACAGATACCACACTTTGATCTCAGCCAAAAGGCCGAGAAGCGATATTAACTTTGTACCTAGTTCAACTGGAGTCTTAAAGTTTCTGTAAAGATCTTGTTGCTGGCAGCTTGTCTACCAGTCTTTTTATAAACCTGTTATTTCTGATATCTATTTTCATATGATTCTTTTCGTTGCGAGGAAACGTCCCCTTTTGGGAAATATACACATTTATTACTACTATTCAGATTTTTAATAAAATAGTCGCAGTGTTACCGCTTTAGTAACAGATCTCCCGCAGATATTAGTGCAGGGTTTGTAGTCAGAACAATATAATATGTTAATAAATATTCGTTAATATAAAAGTGAATATATAAATAAGAATGCAAGGTAATTAAAGAACCAGTCTCCCAACTGGGAAGATATCCCGAAATCTCAATAGCAATAAAATCGACAAATGAAGGCGAAACAGATGAGCCCCATAAATTAGGACGCGACATCAACTTTTTTAATGTCAGCCATATCACCCGGCGGGCTCTGTGCGATACTAGATAAATAAAACCGCGTGTTGGTCTGTCTATAAATAATACACGTGGATCCTACTCGTTATATCCATGCTGACACATTCTGTTTGTGGCTAAATTTGTATTATTTGTAATAATAATAGTTTTCCTATGGAAACGCCTATTACAGTGCAATTTCTTGACTTAAAAGACTTATTGTATACTTATACATGTCGTTATCAAATCAAATTAAAAATCATTTATTCATGTAGGACATTTTAGTCACTCACTTATGAACGTCAATCGTATATATAAAATTCTCGTGTCACAGTTTTCGTTCCCATACTCCTCCGAAACGGCTTGACCGATTCTCATGAAATTTTGTGAGCGTATTGAGTAGGTCTGAGAATCGGCCAACATCTATTTTTCATCCCCCTAAATGTTATGGGTAGTCCACCCTTAAATTTTATTTTTTATTTTTTAGACAATATTTTTAGTGTCTATTTTTTTATGATACAACATACAAAAATACATACAATCCTAAATTTTCACCCTTCTATCATCAACCCCTATTTTTTATAGCGTTATTAATTTATATGGCAAAACAACGTTTGCCAGGACAGCTAGTTTTTTTATATTAATTTTCGTTATATAGTTCCTACCGCGCTACAGTAACTATAATGATTTCATTTAATTAAAAAACTGTATTCAAATATGCATAATAATAATATAACATTCCAGTAACCTGCCAGTTCTAGTAAAGTAGTCAGCTAAACTGGAGGGTAGAGTTAAAAATAGTTAAAACAATTAACGTGCATAATTTACTAAAAATATTGTAACTCAAATAACACGTTAACTATAAAATAATATTCAGTAAAGAAGCCGGTTTAAATGTCCATATTGGAAAAGAACTGCTGATTGCTTTTAAATAAAAATTAAAAAATGTTCTTGCAGGCTAATTTGCATATCAACTCGTGTGTTAAGAATATATGCTAGCTGTGCACGCGACTTCGTCTGCGTGGAATTTAACTTTATTTTTCTAAATAAAAATAAATTCTAAAATAAAAGTAGCCTAAGTTACTCCTTATTACATCAGCTACCTGCCAAAAAAAGTCCCGTAAAATCGGTCCAGCCATTTCAGAGATTAGTCGGAACAAACGGGCAGACAAAAATTAAAAAAAAATCTTTTTTCGTGTATACGGTACATACACCAAAATAACATTTTTTACAATTTATATTCATATGCACGTAGTAAAAAACGGTTATTTCAGTATCACAAACAGACACTTCAATTTTATTTATATGTCTTATATTATTTGTTTTATTTAATACGTATACGAACGTAATAAAACCTTAAATGGATCTCTCTACAACATTTTAAAAGATCTTGGCCTGTCTAGAAATGCAGTAGTATCTATACGAGAGCATGTAACTAAAGCAGCACTGGCAGGCTCCTACCAGATTTGGCTGGGCAGGGAAAAAAACAAGAGAGGTGAAGATGAGTGTTGACGTAGGTCGGCAAGGGGCCCCTTAAACCTACACCTGGGTGACAAGACCAGGGAACTGCTCGGAGTTTCCCTCTGACATACGATGAACTCGGCACCCGCACGTTGAATCCATTGCTAAGAAGTTCCTCTCAGATAAATATATATCTATTATATATTTACTAGCTAGTAGCTACGGGTGTACATGTATTATATATAAACCTTTCTCTTGAATCACTCTATCTATTAAAAAAAACCGCATCAAAATCCGTTGCGTAGTTTTAAAGATTTAAGCATACATAGGGACGGACAGACAGCGACAACGACGTTGTTTTATACTATGTAATGATTCACCAATTAAAAATCACATAGCATATGATATTGCCCGCAAGGTAGAATAGAATAGAAAATCATTTATTCAAATAAACTTAATTTAAACACTTTTTAATAGTCATAATAATGGACATAGAAACAGATCAAGGTGAATTATTCCTGCCGTCCCAAAACATCTAAGATTTCTTGACCATTCTAGAAGTTTTCGACCGGGAATAAATAAAAGGTACAGACAAAATAAATATATGTGCCGTAAAGGTGAATAGACAACCCAACTCTTCAACGTACCACCATCGTCTTTATACATGAAAAGTTGGGATTTCACACATTTCCACTTAAAAATGTATATATATATTTACACAACTATTATTACAGGTCTAAGCCCATTACAATAGCGTATCTAATACTATATTATACAGTATCATGTAACATATAACATACAATGTTGTTTTTGTGAATTCACACAAACTACACACAAACAAATCGGTGTAAAATTTTGCAACAAATTTATTTAAAAGAGCAACACGCAAGTATCTCACTCGTTCTTCTTGCGATGAGACTAGTAGGTTAAAATAAAGTGCTTTACTATATTTCTAACACTCCAATCGAAACAGAGCTTACCAAGACGGCAGTCATTGGTTTAGCGATTTAGCATAGCATACGTCCCATGGTAGCGGGTTCGATTCCTCGCACGGTCCAAACGTTTTTACTCATCTGTATGATTATTTATATAGGTCTGGGTGTTTTCTATATTACTAGCTGTGCCCTCGGTTAAATTTCAATAAAAAAATATAGCCTGTGTTATTCTAATGCGAGAAGGTAAGCTATATTACTGTAAAGTTTCATCAAAATTTGTTCAGTAGTTTGCGTGAAAGAGTAACAAACATCCATACTTACAAACTTTCGCATTTATAATATTAATAAGATGTATGTATTTACAAAAAAAAAAGTATTTCTCAGTTGCCTAGTACCCATAATGCAAGATCTGCTTAGCTTGGGACTAGGTGGCGCTGTATCCATTGTCCAGGATATTTATATAAAAAAAATATGCTGCTTTGCGGCTGGCTGAAATGGGTACCCAGGCGACTTTGTATAAAGTCTACCACACATAATATA